AAGTGACTCTGTCACCATCCTTTTAGCGCTGGCGCCCTTTTCACCGAAACTTAACGTGTGCCGACCACGAGTAAATGAAGTTTAGGGCTCCTCCGCCAAAACTTCTGTCTTCAGCTACATCCCTTTTTCTGACAGAAACCTCGCGTGCAATTCGATTTCTCCCATCTTTCTTTCAACTTTGTTACAGACGTTTCCAGTAACTGCGCGCATTGTTCCAGTTTTGTAACATATCGAGGCCTTTGAGGCAGGTCTTCATCTTTCCGACTGTCACGGTGCTGAATACACCGGTTCATTGAATGAAATAAAAAGACACCATTCGGTCATCGCAGCAAACGTGACACCGCTCACTGATCCATCCGGATACACACACGAGCAAACTGACCGGCAATCGGGCGCCTGCTGTAAGACAACCTGAAGATTACTTCATCCGGCACTTCGCGGGCAGGGAAATGAGCCACAGATGTTTACGACCCCCGGCCCACACCGATTACAACACCAGAAGAGATCGTCACACACGAGAGAGATAAGAAGAGAATAGAAGAGCAGAGAGAGAGAGAAGAGAGAGAGAAGAGAGAGAGAGAGAGAGAGAGAGAGAGAGAGAGAGAGAGAGAGAGAGAGAGAGAGGGAGAGAGTAGAGGAGAGAGATGAGAGAGAGAGAGAAGAGAGGAGAGAGATAGAGGAGAGAGAAGAGAGAGAGAGAGAGAGAGAGAGAGAGAGAGAGAGAGAGAGAGAGAGAGAGAGAGAGAGAGAGAGAGAGATATAGAGATAAGAGAGAGAGAGAGAGAGAGAGAGAAGAGAGAGAAGAGAGAGAGAGAGATAGAGAGAGAGAGAGAGAGAAAGGATAGAGAGGAGAGAGAAAGGATAGAGAGAGAGAGAGAGGGAGAGGGAGAGGGAGAGGGGAGAAAGAGAGATAACGTGTGCCTCGGACCATGAGCACGATACAAAAAAAAAACTGATGTATTTATAGGAATCAGCACTACGGAATCGCACTAAAACAACTAATAAAATGTTTGAACGAAAAGCATTGTTGCACAGTGATTCTCAGATGGAAGTTCTCCTTGCTCCCCTTGGCTATCATGCATGTAGAAATATAAGCACGACCTCTTTTTATTGATGTATTATTCTCTGTGCCTTTGGACCGAGACAACGCCTGGCTTCATCCAAACAGGAGATGAAAGCCGTTGTAAATTTCTCTGCGAGCAGAATTCTGACCATGGTTTTGCTTTGTTCATTGTTCATTTCTGTTGTGGTTTCAATGATTGTTCGCTTCGGCACTGAATCATTCGACGGTTCAGATGCTAGTGGGAGCTATCCATTGCCTGGTACAAAAGTGAAAAGTCGTCCACTCTGCGTGCCGAGGGTATTTGTAGATGGTACTCTGCGTGCCGAGGGTATTTGTAGATGGTACTCTGCGTACCGAGGGTATTTGTAGAGGGTACTCTGCGTACCGAGGGTATTTGTAGATGGTGCTCTGCGTGCCGAGGGTATTTGTAGATGGTACTCTGCGTGCCGAGGGTATTTGTAGATGGTATTCTGCGTGCCGAGGGTATTTGTAGGGGGTACTCTGCGTGCCGAGGGTATTTGTAGAGGGTACTCTGCGTGCCGAGGGTATTTGTAGGGGGTACTCTGCGTGCCGAGGGTATTTGTAGATGGTATTCTGCGTGCCGAGGGTATTTGTAGGGGGTACTCTGCGTGCCGAGGGTATTTGTAGATGGTATTCTGCGTGCCGAGGGTATTTGTAGAGGGTACTCTGCGTGCCGAGGGTATTTGTAGAGGGTACTTACTCTGCGTGCCGAGGGTATTTATGGAAGGAACTCAACGAACGTCGCCACAAGATGGGCAACCAAGAACGGCGAACTTGAAAACCGAAGGGAGTATATACACCCGTAAGCTGTATGGTGAACAGGCAAGCAAAGGGCCCGCCTCAGGTCGTTGTCATGCATCGATTATGTCGTAAGTCGTTCGCCATGGACCACCAGCGCCGCGCAGCAATCGCCCCGTGCCCTGGCCGGCCATAATTCAGTGCGGGAACTATGGCACGGCCGTGACGTCATGTGAACCTGACATCTGCACCGAACCCGGAAGGCAGGAGCTCGGGGCGGCGGCACTGCGTCAGGAGGCAATCGGCGGCGACAAGCCGAAAATGGACCTGTCTGGCCGCGGGCGGACTGGCGCCGGCTCTCACCGGCCGCCAGTAGCAGTGTGCCGCGAGCGGACTGGCGCCGGTTCTCACCGGCCGCCAGCAGCAGTGCGCCAGCCCCGCACCGTCCCGCCGCCGCCCCGACAAGCTGGGAGCGCAGCGACCCGGTGACCGGCGCAGTGGGCGGGGCCCACCCGGCCGGTGGCGGGCCACGGCCGCGGCGCCGGAGTCGCCGCAGGGCCGAGCGCGGCCGGTCCGCTGGGGAAATCAGCCGTCACTCGGCGCCGCACCGCGTCGCCGGGTGTGAACGGCGGGACCCAGGCCCGGTCAAGCCCCGGCCGCCCCGCAGCCGGGCACGGGCCGACCGGCCGAGACGCCACAGCAGTGGCGGCAGCCGGCCACAGTCGAGCTATTCGTAGTGTCTCAGACGCAGCAGCCGTCAGCGAGCTGTTCGTAGTGTCTCAGACGCAGCAGCCGTCAGCGAGCTGTTCGAGCTTGGTAATATTCGTTACGTCACAGCTTTGACGTCCTCTCCTGCACCTTTACCTGTCGAAACGCATTTGACGGCGTGTTTCGAGATATCTATTTCTGCTACGAGCACATCTAATGACTCATAGCCGATTTCGACGAATGTCACCTTCCATTCATTCCACCCCCAGGCTGAGCAGGGCGCTCAGTGCCGTTGCATCATCAGCCACTTCTTAACCAATGACATCATCCGCCAAAACCGTTCATGATATCATATATCGCGGGAGCCTGTAATCGGGATAATTCCCGCTGCAGGGACAGGGCTGTGAGAATGTCCAGGGTGGTAATGCCACGTAGCCAAATAATGTGTGACTCAGCCGGGATAGCCGTCCAGGGAGCGCTCACAGGCCGATGCTCACTGCCAGGTGATGGTGCGAGGTACACCGACACGCATCACATGCACTGAGCCGCACACCGACACGCACCACATGCACTGAGCCGTACACCGACACGCACCACATGCACTGAGCCGCACACCGACACGCACCACATGCACTGAGCCTACACCGACACGCACCACATGCACTGAGCCGCACACCGACACGCACCACATGCACTGAGCCGTACACCGACACGCACCACATGCACTGAGCCGCACACCGACACGCACCACATGCACTGAGCCGTACACCGACACGCACCACATGCACTGAGCCGTACACCGACACGCACCACATGTACTGAGCCCAAAATATCTGTCATGGGTGTCCCTCCAAAAAAAGAAAAACGGGCAATGTTTACACTGTCATCGAGTGCTCAGACACGACCCAGATATCGAAGGGTCCATTATGTGTTTTCTGTTGCGTTGCCTGAATACAGTCGCTCCGTAGAACTTGCCTTTTCTTTCTTATGAAGTATTTTCTGGACTATGTCATGCGCCGTAATCATATGCGCGTGTGCACCATTAGATGCGCGCCATGAGAGGTAACAGCACGAGCGCGGCTTTGTTGAAGGAGTCTGTTGGGCTCAGAGGATCGTCATGCCATCCGGGACTTCGTGGTTCGTGGTCTCACATAGTTGGACACGATGGTCGATTGTAATCAGATCCAGTTGTTTAAGACGTACTGGGTGCTTTCATGGTTTCCATTCGCTCAGAAACAATAGAATGTTTTTCGGCATTTACTTCACAAATTTTGCATAATCACCGACAGGCGGCTAGATTTCCTAACAAATTTGCTTGCATACAATTGTGTACACTCAGCGTCTTAATGTTTTCACATGCTGGAGGCCGTAATTTTGTCGTATAAGTAGAGCTGAGTAAAATGCATTTTGATTTCTAAATCACATTGTGTGTGGCAGCTCACACGATCTTACCGCCTGGCAGGCATTGTCTCTTTTGTGGCAGGCATTGTCTTTTTTTGTGGCAGGCATTGTCTCTTTTGAAAACATACAACATGGTTGTCCCTGCACAGGATGGCTGAAGTGCGTTTTGAGCTTGGACTTAGGAATAGCCCTGAGAATGAGGGTTTGGGCTTAATGAAAGGGCTTGAGGATGAGGCTTGGATTTGGTGGTCTGACAGTGCCGTTCCAGCCAATAAAATGAACACGGCATTTGTTGTGTGTTTTAACAAATCGAGTACTGTTTCGTACTGCTACTCGCCTGGCCATTGCGTGAAGATCTCCAGATAGATAGAGATAGATCAACCTTGTTCTTGTTGGGGGGGGGGGGGGGGGTTGCGTTGTCTATTTCTCACGTTTAGGCAGCGGTAGGTACGGTGTTTGTACCGCATTAGCGCTGGCTGATATTTCCTCGGACCAGCATCGATAACGGCAGTGTTCCCGCTAGCAATCAGGTGAACAGGGATTTGCGACAAGGAAGCATGGCGCTGGCAGCTCGGAGCACCGATAATACATTTGTGGACATTTTACCGGTGGAGGATGCTGAACAGTGTATGTTGCTTTTGGTACAGCAATGGTCATTGATTTAAAATCCAGTCCGACTTGCACTAGAAGATTTTCGTTTTGGAAGCATTTGGGCACTCGCTTTTGAATACCCTTCACCTTTTGACGCAATGCCTGAGCTCTACCAGGCATTGTTTCTCCGGCGTCCTCAGTTGGCTGCACGGTTCTCATGCCGCTCAAACCATGTCCCCAGCCACCGCTGCTCCCCGCTTTACAGTGCCTTCCAACAGACCCGCGACCCATGAGCCATGCTGCGTCGAGCCCGCGCAGCTGGCTGGTGGGGTGGTAGGGCCTCAGCTGCGCCGAGCCCACGCAGCCGTCTGGTGGGGTGGTAAGGCCTCAGCGCGGCTGAGCGTGCGTGTTGAGTTGGTGCTTGTATGAGTGCTTGCGTGTGTGTTCGTGTGTTTTTGAGGGGAGGGGTGGTACTCACGCTGTATCCAGTCGTTTCTGAGCTCGGCCCGCGACAGCAGCTCCGGTGACAGGTAGTTGGTGCACGTCGGGTGACGGAAGCCGGCGGCGCTTAGCTGCCGCTGCTGCCGCTCTGCCGCACAGACATGAGAGACGGTCACCACGAGCCCGCCCCGGGGGTCCGCTCACGAACCCGCATCGGGGGTCCGCCCGCGAGCCCGCCTCGGGGGTTCGCTCACGAGCCCGCATCGGGGGTCCGCCCGCGAGCCCGCCTCGGGGGTCCGCTCACGAGCCCGCCCCGGGGGGTCCGCCCGCGAGCCCGCCTCGGGGGTCCGCCCGCGAGCCCGCCTCGGGGGTCCGCCCGCGAGCCCGCCTCGGGGTCCGCCCGCGATCCCGCCCCGGGGGGTCCGCCCGCGAGCCCGCCGGGGAGTCCGCCCGCGAGCCCGCCTCGGGGGTCCGCCCGCGAGCCCGCCTCGGGGGTCCGCCCGCGAGCCGCCTCGGGGGTCCGCTCACGAACCCGCATCGGGGGTCCGCCCGCGAGCCCGCCTCGGGGGTCCGCTCACGAGCCCGCGCCGGGGGTCCGCCCGCGAGCCCGCCTCGGGGGTCCGCCCGCGAGCCCGCCCGGGGATCCGCCCGCGAGCCCGCCCCGGGGGTCCGCCCGCGAGCCCGCCTCGGGGGTCCGCCCGCGAGCCCGCCCCGGGGATCCGCCCGCGAGCCCGCCTCGGGGGTCCGCCCGCGAGCCCACGCCGGGAGTTTGCCTGCGAGCTCGCCCCGGGGGTTTGCCTGCGAGCGAGGGGAGCACCGAACGGCCCGCAGGCTTTGTGAATGAGTGCTGAGGCGTGAGCATGTCCTAGCTTCTGAAGGTGTGCGTTCCCTGCGAGTCGAGCACCCATCTGCTGCCTCTGAGCGAGACATGCGTCTGTCGGGATTGCCGGGGGGGGGGGGGGGGGGCGCTCACCACTTAACAGCCGGACTGCCCGACTCGTGGTGACCATGTCGGCGGCGTCCAGCCAAGCTGTGAAGCCCAGCTCTGCGCGGGGAGAGCCGCTCGCTCGGCAGCGAGCCGCCAAACCGCCGCTGCCAGCGGAGTGGCTCGCGGACGGCCGGATCGCTCTCGCCCAATGGCGCTGATACGCCGAGCGGAGCGGCCCGGTCCGCCGAGATTGGCGCCGAGCATCGCTTCGGACGGAGCCCGAGATTTCACCGCAGGAATGGAGCCCCCCGCTCTGCGAGTGCCTGGCTAACTCACGGTCGGGATGCCCGACCGAACTCAGATTGGACCGGAGTCCTTAAAGATCCAGAGCCGGAATTATGCTACGAATCTAGAAGGCGCAGGCAGAGATCAATCGTATGGAACAGGGACAAATCCACGAACGGCTCGGTTCACAGTATCCTGGAGCACTGCACAGCGTGGATAGAAGATACCGCCACCAATGCTTTTTTTTTACTCGGCGTGAGTATTTTGGAGGGTGTAGCACAGAGCTCGCTTCAACACAACCAGCACCATTCGAGCCGCTCAATATGGAATACCTTCTATCACAATGACCAGGAATTCGAGAATGCGCTATGCATCGGCGAACAGCTTTCTGAGCAATAGGATATGATAACCAAAAGTAAAATATTCACGGAGATCAAATCTTTCACTTGTAACACAAATCTATATTTGTGCTGAAACGCAATCATGTTGAATAAGTGCAGCGTATTTCACAGAGGTTCGGAAACAAATATGATTGCATCCTGCTCCATCTCAGAGATCCGCTTGGACCCAGCGTCATAGGTCAGGACTCAGAACCCCAGAAACGCATGGATACCCGCATGCATACATGAGTGAGTACTGGATCATCAAGGAAACAAATACCGGTGGGAGCGTGAAGAAACCGCAGGGGTATGCTAGCTGAACACAATACTGACATCGGGTGTGCTAACTGAACAAGATACTGACATCATACACAATGGAGTACATGAACCTAATCAGCACACCAATAATTTTATGCAGATTCAGCATACCGACCAGATGGAGGCATGTGAATCGCAGCCATAGCTTTGGGGACATTCGCGGTAATATTTCTGGACATTGACTACGGGCAGGCGAGAGCGCACACATGATTACCGTGGGGATGTCAGCGGAAGTCCTCGTTGAGTGAGGGGAAGGGGCTCTGATGAGCAGCGGTTGCATGCCATAATACTACTGTTGGATCGGCGTGTATCTCTGTTGCTCCCTACTGCTTCTAGGGACGCACGACATTTTTGATGGGGCCACGTTTAGCAAACGGGACCTGAGCGCGAAATGGCCTCAGAAACCGACGCGCTTATAAAACTTCCAGACGTCAGCGAACAGGACCTTGCTGGGCTACTGCAGGCCCCATGCGAGTCACTGTATTGATCCCACCAAAGCCACGCCGTACCTGTGACGTTCCGTTTCATCGAAGATGCTCTGACGAAGTGATGGTGACTGAACGCGCGGTGAACACTTTACAAGGTTCATTTGTTCCCCTTTGTCAATGTGCATTCAAAGACATGGGGTCACCAAAAAAACCTCATGAATTTCAGTATATACAAAGTTGCAGTATGCTATTTCATGCCGATTCCGCAAGCTTTTCGCCTCCAAGTCCATTGGTAGGCAATGATTGTGAATAGTAGTTTCACTCTGGCAGCCATTGGGCGGTTCATGCAGCAGGACCGGAACAAATCGCAAAAATGGCATTATTTCCGTTATTTGGCATTTGAATGGATAAAAACTGCTTTTTAGGGTCGGAACCGCTCTAGAATTGAATCTGCTCCTCTCACAAAAAGTGAAAGCCGTGAACACCATTTCAAAATGTCTCGTTTCTTCCAATTTACCAAAGCGTGTCTGTCAGCGTTGCTTAACACGCGCCCGGGTGGCCAGTTGGATACCCTTCGCTCGGGTGGGGGTCAGCTTGACCCCCCTGAGATCTCGGGAACTAAAAGAGCTAGGAGAACCAAGTTCATAGAGCGTGTGACCTGTGCGTGAACTTTCTTAGCTCAAAGTTTGACGTTCCTAGGCCACAACTTTTAGGTCAAATAAGGTCAAACAAGGTCAAATTCTAAATCGGTCTCCTAAGGGCCCCTAGAACCTAGGCAATTGTTCAAAGAAAAATGGCACACGCTCAGTTCAGGTCATTGACATTGTTTGACATTTTAACACGCGCCCGGGTGGCTTGTGGAATGCCTTCCGCTCGGGTGGAGTGGGTCAATTGCCCCCCCCCCCGCTGAAATCACGGGAACTAAGAGAGTTAGAGTAACCAAATTTACAGAGTGTGTTGACCTGTATGCGAACTCACTTGGTCAAAGTTCAAAATTCCTAGAAATGACCTTCGGGTCATATAAGGTCAAACAAGGTCAAATTCCAGACTGGTCCCCAAGGGGCCCTTAAAACCCAGGCAAATGTTTTAAGCAAAATGTCACACACCCGGTTAAGGTCAGTGATCTTATTTGGCCTTTTAAAGGTCATGATGACTTGCATGATATAATACTTTTGAGTTTTGCATTCGGAGAAGCGACAAACATTACGCTAGGCAGCATGTTCCTTAAAGCAAAATATTGACATGGGCCATGCCAGGTCAGTGAACTATTCTGACCTATCCTATAAGAAGTCCATGGCAGGTGTATATTACGGTTCCTGCTATCAGTATGTTCGAAATGAGCACCAGAAACCAGGCCATACAGCAAGCCCGAGAGTAATAAAACAGGTTGGTTTTGACCTTGGTCTGACCTTCATACCTGAACGTATGTCAATGCCATTTGTTTATCTTTTTTGCCTAAAAAGGCATCTCAGGGATGTATGGCTCCGTCTAACACCCATCGAATTGAACGATTCCCTTGGACGTGCCTTCGCTAAAACCACGGCCCGACTTTGACCTGCCATTGGTCATCGACCTTACACGGTACATCTAATTTTTTGGTCTCAGACGGTCCACCATTCAATTGTCTACAGGTGTGGAAAATTTGGCATGGTTACGCCGCGCCGTTCGGAAACCATTCCCGGAGAACCTTCCGGGGGGGGGGGGGGGCAATATGACCCCTCACCCGAGCGCGTGTTTATATGTACCTTCTGCTTCACTGAGCAATACTGAACGTCAGTTTTGTTCACGAACTCTCAACTTAAAAGCCGAAAAACCAGGAGCTCAACGCATCTATTGCATTATCGAGTCACTTTTATCTAGGCGTTGCATGTATATATATATATATATATATATATATATATATATATATATATATATATATATATATATACATATGAGTGCTCGTTTGGAGAGATGTTTCTGTGGCCCTCAATATTTCTAGGGCGTTGTATATTCTAAAATCACCTTTCGACGCTATGTCCTTTTCCGGGCTGTGACAATTCGTGATTTTAAAAAAGTACAACTTATGAGACATATATGCCATGTCACCCGTACTCATTCTATTACTGCCGATGTGGCGGGACTTATGTTTTAACCCGCGTGGTCCGCTCCATGTTGCAATGAGAGTTGGCACCGGTCAATGCGTAGTCGCCGACCGCCGGCGGCATCACTGGGCGGAGGACGTCCCGTCGCTCGTTGAGCGAGCGCGGACGCGTCCGTCGCTGGCGTTCGCTGTGCGCGGGAGTGACTCACCTGATAATGATACACAGAGCGTCCAAATGCCGCCGTTCATTGGTACCAGGAACACGGTGCGGTTTTCGGGCTGCGACTGCTCGATTGTAACGACTCCCACCTGCCCGTCAATGATCCATTTCAGTCTGAAATCAAAGAAATTACGACCCATTAACCTGACTTATCGGCACGACCGAGCCATTTAAAGCTTCTGACGTGGCCGTTAAGTAAATCCCACTAAGAGATTAAAAAGCCGTTATGGACTGAGTCATCACTGCGAAAAAAATAATAGCACCATCATGAACTGTTTCAGCAATCAATAAAATGTTATTGGACGGGATTTGCAACGTGTAAGTGTGAAAGCCTTAGAACGAGATTTCCATGCAAACTGGATGCAGACAGCAGTGCGTGTCCATGCTCCGACGCCCCCGCTTCTCATCCCATGTGCCTTTTCGCGCGCCCCGCGTTGTTAAGCGACCAAGGACCTTGAAGAATGTGTATGCGTTTCTAATCTTTTGCAAGATCTGAGGGGAGATCTTTTGAAAGATCTGAGAGGAGGTAAGATGTCATATCAGGGATGTGATTTCACGTGAGCAGGTGAGGTTCAGTTCTTGTAAGCAGCTCAGCCCTGGTCGATAAACCTTGGCTACCTGCAAAAGCTGGCCTTCCCTGGGATAACGGTCAGTTTGCAATGCGATTTTGGAAAAACAGAATGCTGTGCCATATTTTGCTTCCTTTCAATTCTACCGTTGATATTGCTTCCTAAGCACAGTGTCTAAGGTAGGCAGGGCTTCTGTGAAAAAATGAAGGGTGAGCTCAAAGTTGGGGAGAGCGGGGGGACTGTGAGACATCCATCTGAACGCGCTGCTTCATTCCTGCGTCATATGTAGGGTTACCGCAGATGAGTAGTTTGGTCACCTAACATGCAGCATATATTCAACTGGACATCATGTATTAACGTGCAATGCATCGCCAAAAATTTGGAATATAATTCCATCTCACAACTTCATGTAAGGAGGCATGTAATAGATAATATATATAGATATATATAGATGAGATATAGAGATAGATATAGAGAGAGAGGAGAATAGAAGATAGATGGATAGAATAGGGATTATGAGACCCTCGCGCTCGAGAATCGGAGAGCGCGCGAGAGCCGCTCGCGCGCGCGCTCTCGAGATATATCTCTCGCTCTCGACCTCTCGCTCTCGCTCTATTCTCTCTCACTCTCTCTCTCCTCTCTCTCTCTCTCTCTCTCTCTCTCTCTCTCTCTCTCTCTCTCTCTCTATCTCTCTCTCTCTCTCTCTCTCTCTCTCTCTTCTCTCTCTCTATCTCGTCTTATCTCTCTCTCTCTCTCTCTCTTCTCTTGCCTTCGTGCATATCGTACATGCGCAATGCATGCGGGAGGGGGGCTCTAACAAGTGACAGAAGGAACTCTTAAATGTGCTAACCAAGCCGGGCGTTGTTGATACTGACGCGATGCATCGTAATGTGACTTGCAGGGTGTTTCTAAAACACACATATATTTTGATATCGCAAAGGAGCCCGTGTCGGAGTGTTCAGGCCTCCTGGTTGATGAGGTATTAGCGTGTGGGGACTCGTACTTCACGTTGGAGGGGCTGTGATCGCAGAAACTGCTGCTGCTTGCACTTCCAAGATCACGGAAGCCACACACGGCTCACGAATGGGATACAGCTGTGCGCTCCGCAGCTGCCCTCAAATTAACTTGCTGTTACCTTCACGACCGTGGGTCAATTTAATGAACCACTGAATCTGCCTAGCCCCAGAATTATCTTACAGGGTATATCCAGACTGTATCACTGGATTGAAATTTACAAAATCACGTAATTTATGAGGGGTTTCGAACACCCAGGGCGCGGGGAAGGGGCCGCAATTAATTGCTTACACTGCAAGGGAATTTGTAAATCCTGAATCCCTTGGGTTTTTGAGAATGTTTGATTTCCTTTTTGCACTTCCTGTTTGTGACGCATTCGTTGTTCGTTTCGCATTGTCTGCAGTTGACCCTGCGCTGCGCCCCGGGTAGCATGCGCGGATCGGCGCTCCTCCCACCTCCCCTGCGACTGAGACCGTGTGTGAGCCGAGTGAATGCTTGGCTGCGAGTGAGCAAGTGACCAGAAGAGTGAGTGAGAACGCGACGAACTGAGTACGCAGCAACACCTGCACGACGTGCATAGAATGATTATAGATATCTGCATACTGTGAATCGCGGTGACGATGGTGTTGAGCACGGCTGCCTCAGCCCGCACCCCTGAGGGCGCCCTCGCGCCGCCGCTGACGGTCGTCCGCGCGCCATTGGCGGCCGTGCGCCACCACCGAGGGGAGCTGACGGCTGCGCCCAGTCAGGCAACGGGAGTCGATCCATCTACCCGCCTTCTGACCCTGGCGCCGCGCCCGGCCAACCCAGCCCAGCCGACCCTGGGCCGCGCCCGGCCAACCCAGCCCAGCCGACCCTGGGCCACGCCCGGCCAACCCAGCCCAGCCGACCCTGGGCCGCGCCCGGCCAACCCAGCCCAGCTGACCCTGGGCCGCGCCCGGCCAACCCAGCCCAGCCGACCCTGGGCCGCGCCCGGCCAACCCAGCCCAGCTGACCCTGGGCCGCGCCCGGCCAACACAGCCCAGCCGACCCTGGGCCGCGCCCGGCCAACCCAGCCCAGCTGACCCTGGGCCGTGCCGGCGCCGCCGCTGGAAGGCAAACCACCGCGGCCACAGGGGCGGTGTCAGCTGGAGCCGGCACCGCGATGTCAACTCCAAGGATCTACGGATTGGACAACTGAACATACAGTCATTCAAGCCAAAATTAGATGATCTACGTCAAGATCTATCTAATGTGCACCATCTTGACTTGTTAGCCCTCAGTGAGACATGATTCACCACAAGCGTGATTTTTTAACAAGCATGCATTTGCGCTTGTGCTGCTGCGACAAAAAGGTCTGTCGTCCCAGCGCCGTGGAGCCGCCCAGTCGGGCTGTCTCAACAGGGCAGACACCAACAGCCTTAACGAGACGCTTGCTAACGCGGACCGGACCCGTTCTCGCTGTTGGCGACCCGTCAGAGGAATGGGACGCATTCCTACGGGTTTGCACGCCCCTTTTGGACGAGGTGGGCCCCGTGAGGCACGTGAGGTTGTCTGCGCGCGGCGCCCTGCCGCTATCCGCGGTAACCCGCCAGCTGCTGGCCGGCCGGCGTGCTGCGCTGGCGGCCGGGCCGACTGAGCGGGCCCTCCACCGTCAGCTGAACCGAGGCAGCCGCGCTGCGATGCGTCGGACTGCCGTGAGCACCTTCAGCGTAAGCTCAACGAAGCCGGCCCCAGCCGCACGTACCAGATACTGCGGCCTATCATCGGAACCAAGAAAGGGTCAGCCACCGCACCAGACATCACAGCCCATGCCATCAACTCTTATTTGGTAAGCGTGGGACCGAACACGGCTGCTGGCCTACCACCGCCGCGACGTGATGTGTCTTTCAGGCTCCCTCGCGTGCCCGCATGCGCCATGCGAATAGGCCCGTAACTTACGATGATTTATGTATAACACAAGGATCTTTGAAGCCATCCAATTCAACCGGAACCGTTGGAGTGAGTGTATTTATGTTGCAATGATTTTGCGCGGGCCTTTGCTACGTGTTACTGGACGTTGTCCATGACAGCCTAGTCACAGGAGCAAAGCCAGCGAGTTGGAAGCATGCGCTTGTAGCGCCAATACCGAAAGGAGGGAATTTAGCCAGTGAGTCGAACTGGCGACCCATTTCCACACTGCCCGCTGTGACCAAAACAGCTGAACGACTGGTGCAACGCCAGATAAACGTTTATTTCGAGAAGAAGCACTTGTTTCCGTCCTACCAGCACGGATACTGACGTCATCATTCATCTGGGACTGCCTTTACTGTAGCGACTGGCCGTGTGTTTCATGCGATCGGCTCCTGTAAAATTACTCTGTCGGCGTTCCTAGATCGCTAAAAATGTTTTGACGCGATCGATCGCGGAAATTACTCAGCATACTAAATATGTACGGCGTAGACAGCCATTGGCTAGATAACTATTTTGAGGGACGAACTCAACAGGTCAGAATAGCTCGGAGGGGTGGAAGTAAAACCCTCTCAGAGTCACTGCCAAACACAACTGGAGTCTAAGGGTGGAAGCCTGACCTGTTTAAAGATTTCCATATTCTCGAACGAGGCGAACTAACATACCGGCAGGTCTACAGTGGCTCAGTTTGTCGACGGTACCGAACTGCTCGCTTGTAAAGAGCAGCTTGCTGATATTGTTATTCGTTTGGAAACCGCTCTTACACAACTTGTTAACTGGCTTTGCCAGAATGAAATGAAAATTAATGCGACAAAACTCAACTTCTGGTGCTTGGAACAAATCTATGCTCCGTGATGTTTCCAAAATTGTGATCAAAATTGGAACATCGACAGTGACTGAAACCAGAGCTGTCAAGAATCTGGGTCTCGCGACTGACAGAAACCTCAGCTTTCAGTAACACATTGGCAGCTACGTGCACCGATACACTCATTGCCCTCATTACGCCAGCCACCTCGTTCCGCGCTGTATTCTACAAGTGGTGGGAAGACTCGTGATGTCCTCAGTTTGTTACTGCATATCCATTCACGGAACATGCGGCACCACACAACTTCACCGAGTACAGAAGCTGGTCAATTTTTGCACTCGTCATTTCAGATAGAAAGAAGAACGATATAATTTCGGAGGGAGCAGCACGTTTAGGCATTTTGTCGGCTCAAAATCTACTAAATTATCACCCATTAGCTCTTAACAAATCCACATCTCTGACAGGACAACCGACAGACTTGCGAGGATTATGCTAGGCCGTCCAGAACCACTACAGCACTTGGCCGACAGGACAGCTTAACGTGACGCCAGCCAGGACGAACGTCGGATAGCGTGGTCTCAGCCACGGGGCTGTGACATTGTTTGACCGCCTACCGACCGCCATGCGAACACTGGGCACGTGTCACGCTACGAGCTGAGCTGAGCGGAGTGAGCGGAGCTGAGTGTGCGTTGTTGCACTGGTTTGTGACTTGTTAATTGTTTGAATCGTGAAACTTGTGATGCGAGACTTTTGAGTTTTTTCCGTTGCCTACTGTTTATGTTTGTTTTTCATTTTGACTTGGTTCGTGAAAAGCCTGAAAATATGCCAGGATGCAACCGCAATAAGCTAAACTCAAGTGAACTGTATTTCGTCAACGGACAATCACGCCTTCGCTGCAGAGGCCTCTTTACGGGGAAGAAATAGCCCAGCTGTTCCAGGTACACATGAGGCTGCTCGCCTGCAGGCTGGCCATGTGCGCGGACCGGACGCCCGGCGGATCTCCCGTATCTCGGATCCGGATCCCGTCTCGGGAGTGCGAGCGGATGCGGCACCATCACCTGGCGGTGGGCGGCGTTGCCTCTCACCTGTGCGTGCCGTTCCTCTCGGCCACGATGGCATCCACACGGTGCCGATCGAAGCGGATCATCTCCCAGTTGTCGGTGACCTCGGCGTAGGTCAGCAGCATGCTGGCGGCGGTGGTGAGCAACAGTGTGACCACCAGCAGCAGACACGCCGGATGCATGGACGCGCCGCGCTCGGTCCGTCCAGGGCCGCGCCGGCCCCGCCAGACCACTCGCCTCCGGCGCCCACTGCCGTCCAGCAGCGCCGCTCGCGGCTCGGTCTCTGGCCACCGGCTGTCGTGCGGCGCGCACCTAACACTGAGATCGCACTATGTGGCGCCGTCCAGTTAACTGTCACTTCCCGAGCACGTATGGCAACTACCACACTGAGACCGCAGCGAGCGCTCCGCGGGCGCTGCTCGGCTCCGGCGTGCCTGGCACGTCACCGCTTCACCGGCGCGTCACCACCGTCACCAGAGCTACCGCTCCTCCGCCCGATCCCCGCGCGCAGCACCCACGAGCCGCCGCCGTCGCCAGAGCCGACGAGCGTGTGGCGGGCCTCGCTGCGCCGTCAGTCCGCCTGACCCGCCCGCCGTGACGTCACGCTCCGCGCGGCGACCTGGCCACAGCGGTGGTCGATGTGCGAACCTCGGCGGGGCCGCCCACGGCCGGCCACGCAGCCACTGGACACGTGAGAAGTCTTCACCAGACACTTGCACGTCAGCAGGTCCCAGGAGACACCCTTCGTAGGAGTGGTTCCCAAGAGACACCCTTCGTAGGAGTGGTTCCCAAGAGACACCCTTCGTAGGAGTGGTTCCCAAGAGACACCCTTCGTAGGAGTAGCTCCCAAGGACACCTTCGTAGGAGTAGTCAGAGACACCTTCGTAGGAGTGGTTCCCAAGAGACACCCTTCGTAGGAGTAGCTACCAAGAGACACCCTTCGTAGGAGTAGTCCCAAGAGACACCCTTCGTAGGAGTGGTCCAAGAGACACCCTTCGTAGGAGTGTCCCAAGAGACACCCTTCGTAGGAGTAGCTTCAAGAGACACCCTTCGTAGGAGTGGTCCCCAAGGAACACCCTTCGTGGAGTCCCCAAGAGACAACCCTTCGTAGGAGTGGTCCCAGAGACCCTCGTAGAGTAGTCCCAAGACACCTTCGTAGGAGTGGTTCCCAAGGGCACCCTTCGTAGGGTAGCTCCCAAGAGGACACCCTCGTAGGAGTAGCTCTCAAGAGACACCCTTCGTAGGAGTAGGAGTGGTCCCAAAGGGACACCCTTCGTAGGAGTGTCCCCAAGAGACACCTTCGTAGGAGTGGTTCCCAAGAGACACCCTTCGTAGGAGTAGCCCAAGAGACACCCTTCGTAGGAGTAGCTCCCAAGAGACACCCTCGTAGGAGTGGTCCCAAGAGACACCCTTGTAGGAGTGGTCCCAAGAGACACCCTTCGTAGGAGTGGTTCCCAAGAGACACCCTTCGTAGGAGTAGCTCCCAAGAGACACCCTTCGTAGGCGTGTCCCCAAGAGACACCTTCGTAGGAGTGGTCCCAAGAGACACCCTTCGTAGGAGTGGTTCCCAAGAGACACCCTTCGTAGGAGTGGTCCAGAGACACCCTTCGTAGGAGTGGTCCCAAGAGACACCTTCGTAGGAGTGTCCCAAGAGACACCCTTCGTAGGAGTGGTCCCAAGAGACACCCTTCGTAGGAGTGGTTCCCAAGAGACACCCTTCGTAGGAGTGGTTCCCAAGAGACACCCTTCGTAGGAGTGGTCCCCAAGAGACACCCTTCGTAGGAGTGGTCCCCCAGGAGACACCCTTCGTAGGAGCTGAGGTTCCCCAAGAGACACCCTTGTAGGAGCTGGTCCCCAAGAGACACCCTTCGTAGGAGTGGTTCCCCAGGAGGACACCCTTCGTAGGAGTCGGCTCCCAAGAGGACACCCTTACGTAGGAGTGGTCCCCAGAGACACCCTTCCGTAGGAGTGGTTCCCCAAGAGACACCCTTCGTAGGAGCTGGTTCCCAAGAGACACCCTTCGTAGGAGTAGCTTCCCAAGAGACACCCTTCGTAGGAGTGGTCCCAAGAGACACCCTTCGTAGGACGTGGCTCCCCAAGAGACACCCTTACGTAGGAGTGGTCCCCAAGAGACACCCTTACGTAGGAGTGGTTCCCCAAGAGACACCCTCGTAGGAGTGGTTCCCACGAGACACCCTTCGTAGGAGTGGTCCCAAGGAGACACCCTTCGTAGGAGTGGTCCCCAGGAGACACCCTTCGTAGAGCTGGTTCCCCAAGAGACACCCTCGTAGGAGTGGTTCCCCAAGAGGACACCCTTCGTAGGAGTGGTTCCCAAGAGACACCCTTCGTAGGAGTGGTTCCCAAGAGACACCCTTCGTAGGAGTGGTTCCCAAGAGACACCCTTCGTAGGAGTGTTCCCAAGAGACACCTTCGTAGGAGTGGTTCCCCAGAGCCAAGAGACACCCTTCGTAGGAGTGGTTCCCAAGAGGACACCCTTCGTAGGAGTGGTTCCCAAGAGACACCCTTCGTAGGGGTGGTTCCCAAGAGACACCTTCGTAGGAGTGGTTCCCAGAGACACCCTTCGTAGGAGTGGTCCCAAGAGACACCCTTCGTAGGAGTGGTCCAAGAGACACCCTTCGTAGGAGTGGTCCCCAGAGACACCCTTTAGGAGCGGTCCCAAGAGACACCCTTCGTAGGAGTGGTTCCCCAAGAGACACCCTTCGTAGGAGTAGCTCCCAAGAGACACCTTCGTAGGAGTGGTCCCCAAGAGACACCCTTCGTAGGAGTGGTTCCCAAGAGACACCTTCGTAGGAGTGGCTCCCAAGAGACACCCTTCGTAGGAGTAGCTTCAAGAGACACCCTTCGTAGGAGTGGTCCCCAAGAGACACCCTTCGTAGGAGTAGTCCCCAAGAGAACCCTTCGTAGGAGTGGTTCCCAAGAGACACCTTCGTAGGAGTAGTCCCAAGAGACCACCCTTCGAGGAGTGGTTCCCAAGAGCACCCTTCGTAGGAGTGGCTCCCAAGAGACACCTTCGTAGGAGTGGTTCCCAAGAGACACCCTTCGTAGGAGTGGTTCCCAAGAGACACCCTTCGTAGGAGTGGTTCCCAAGAGACACCCTTCGTAGGAGTAGCTCCCAAGAGACACCCTTCGTAGGAGTGGTTCCCAAGAGACACCCTTCGTAGGAGTGGTTCCCAAGAGACACCCTTCGTAGGAGTGGTTCCCAAGAGACACCCTTCGTAGGAGTGGTTCCCAAGAGACACCCTTCGTAGGAGTAGCTCCCAAGAGACACCCTTCGTAGGAGTGGTTCCCAGAGGACACCCTTCGTAGGAGTAGCTCCCCAAGAGACACCCTTCGTAGGAGTAGATCCCAAGAGACACCCTTCGTAGGAGTGGTCCCAAGAGACACCCTTCGTAGGAGTGTTCCCAAGAGACCCTTCGTAGGGGTGCAAGAGACCCCTTCGTAGGAGTGGTTCCCAAAGGCACCCTTCGTAGGAAGTAGCTCCCAAGAGACACCCTTCGTAGGAGTGGTTCCCAAGAGACACCCTTCGTAGGAGTGGTTCCCCAAGAGACACCCTTCGTAGGAGTAGCTCCCAAGAGCACCCTTCGTAGGAGTGGCCCCAAGAGGACACCCTTCGTAGGAGTGGTTCCCAAGAGGCACCCTTCGTAGGAGGGTTCCCAAGAGGACACCCTTCGTAGGAGTGGTCCCAAGAGACACCCTTTCGGAGTGGTCCCCAAGAGACACCCTTCGTAGGAGTGGTTCCCAAGAGGCACCCTTCGTAGGAGTAGCTCCCAAGAGACACCCTTCGTAGGAGTGGTCCCCAAGAGACACCCTTCGTAGGAGTGGTTCCCAAGAGACACCCTTCGTAGGAGTGGTTCCCAAGAGGCACCCTTCGTAGGAGTAGCTCCCAAGAGACACCCTTCGTAGGAGTAGCTCTCAAGAGACACCCTTCGTAGGAGTGGTCCCCAAGAGACACCCTTCGTAGGAGTGGTTCCCAAGAGACACCCTTCGTAGGAGTGGTTCCCAAGAGGCACCCTTCGTAGGAGTAGCTCCCGGGAGGCACCGGTCCGAGTAACTCTAGGGAAGCACTAGAGTGAAAAGTGCCCGGGAGGCACTGGTCTGATAACTCTAGGGAAGCACTAGAGTGAGAAGTGCCCGGGAGGCACTGATCCGAATAACTCTAGGAAAACACTTGAGTGAGAAGTGCCCGGGAGGCACTGGCCTGAGTAACTCTAGGGAAGCACTAGAGTGAGAAGTGCCCGGGAGGCACTGGTCCGAATAACTCTAGGAAAACACTAGAGCGAGAAGTGCCCGGGAGGCACTGGTCCGAATTACTCTAGGAAAGCACTAGAGTAAGAAGTGTCCGGGAGGCACTGGTCTGAGTAACTCCACGGAAGCACTAGAGTGAGAAGTGCCCGGGAGGCACTGGTCTGAGTAACTCCACGGAAGCACTAGAGTGAGAAGTGTTCGGGAGGCACCCGCTGTGCAGACAAGTTCTGGGAGGCATTCGCCATGTGCGCGGCACCTGCCATGTGGCAGCTCGTTGAGGTCTGCAACATGTGGTGTGGAACTCAACGAGATGATTGGAAAGGGATAAATCTTGTCCCAACTATCCCTGCTCCTAATCCTGTCTCCGCCCAACAACCAAATGACTTAGGAGGTTCCCTTAACCAGGGGCGTGGAGAACTAAGGGAGCCAGAGCGGGTGAACCCCTGCCCAACCTTCTGAAAATATATTAATGACCCTCAGGTGCCGACTGGAATGAAATACCCAACAAGGGTGCTGCCCTAAGCTCATTTAAGCCATAAGGTAGTTGCGGTGTCCCCTGGTAGGACTTACACGCTTTCTGCCCTCAAAATGTTTTGAACACTTCCTATTGTTTTAGCATGAGCTCGAAGGCTGCCCTGACGCGATCTCAGCAAGACATCTGTATCTCACGGACTGGCATATCGGCGGGGGAAGAGCTGTACAAAAAGGTCTGTGGTGCCGAAATGCTCATTTTAACCAGTCACAATGCTTTTGAAGGTTGTTTCTATGCACAACCATTGATATAGTGTTAACGACACCGGGACAGTGAACGGCAAGCACTAATCAATTACGCTAGAGCTCTCATGCCTTCTTCATGTTTCCAAGATTTG